AGCCAATATTATTCCAAGAAATTTCAGAAAAGAATTGTCCGAATAACAGAATTCATTCTTCCAGTTTAGTCCTCAAGATTTAGGAGGTGAAGATGCCATGGCAGGATTTAATTGGGTGAGGAGTGTCCAGTTTTATAAAGTCCCTCATGAGTAATATGTGACTTCATGTCAGTGCAGGTGAGAAGAAGATTTCCTCAAAAGATCAAAGGTGAGCCACTTCCTGGGCCGCAGGATAAGGTGAATCAGTGCCATCAAGGAATTCCATGGATTATAACAGTTGTGGATTGCCAGAGGTCAACCTCTGGATTCGAGTTCTTATATCTTCTGCTACTTCTACCCGAAATAGTCACAGTCATTTCTTCTTTTTCCCTCTATTGAGGGTCGTGGAGAAGTAATTTTATAAGAAATAGATGCCAGTCCCTTAACTCAGTAGCACTTAAGCTTTTAGATGAATATTAAAAACAATTTGTAAGTTATGACTTACATGATCTTACAAAATTTATTGCATAATTTTTACAAGACTGTAAAAAAATGGGAGACAATTTTCAAGATAAGAAATATCCCACTAGCGTAGACTTTTTGACTGGAGAAATAAAAAATATGACAGAAAAAAAGAAAACATCTGAAATTGATGGCTAAGAAAACACATGATGCCCCTCCCCCAGCCTGTGTCTTTAGTCTGTAATGTTTGCTGATGTCTCCTGTGGGCTGGACCTACCAACCGGGCAAGTCTTTAGCTTTTCTAGATTTAGCCTGATTTATCTGAAATATGGCGGTCTGTGGTTTGTCTTCATGACAGTGATTAACAGGGTTGGTGTGTGGATCTGGTCACTTACATTTCTGCCCTGTGAATCAGAAGGGAGGCTGCTCTGACCCCCTGGAGAGAGGCCTCTGCAGGCATGTGTGACCTCCCTTTGTGCCTGTGCATTTGGCCGGTTTTTAATCTTGTTATTTAATTTTAATATTAATTAGACAGTTGTTTCCATAGCCCTATAACTCTAGGGGTATGTTTTCACACCTCACATACACACTGTCTTCACTCACCTTCCATGGATACCCTTGTGCCAGTGACCTATTCCCTTCTGGTCTCCTCCATACTCCCCCTATTTCCTCAGGTCACCAGTATATTTTTCATAGAGTTTAAGAATTATTGTTGCTGTGCTTTTTTACTGTGTGAGCTATAGTTATTCATATTTTACAAATAAGGGAAGCCATCCAACATCTGTCTCACATTCTAACTGATTTCATTTAACTTAATCACCTCAAGAGCCAACCATTTTGTCCCCAAAGCCACTATTTCATCTTTTTGATAGCTGAGTAGTATTCCATGAAGTATATATTCCACGATTTCTTTATCCAGTTGTCTGTTGCACTTGGTCTCTTTGTGGCTGGTTTCTGTGTATTCAGACTGGATGGGAGCACCTTCCTGGTGCTCTGGGAGGACTTCAGAAATAGGCTGGGGCATGTTCATGGTGTCAGCCCCACAGCCTGCTTGTGAGGGACTGAAAACATATTCTAAGGAGGCCTATGAGGAGAATGAAGCAGGACTGTACCTGGATGACTTGGGTTGTTAGCTCAATCCTGATTTTAAAAGTCTCTTGCCTAATTTTTAGACTCTGTGGCAGATCATGTTGTCTGATTTTCAGTTCAAAAATATGAATATTAAAAACAATTTGTGAGATTATGGCTTACATAATCTTACAAAATTTATTGCATAATTTTTACAAGGCTGTAAAAAATGGGAGACAATTTTCAAGATAAGAAATATCCCACTAGCTTAGACTTTTTGAGTGGAGAAATAAAACTATGACAAGTCCTAACCAATATGGATGATTTTCAAAGGGCACCATCTACTCTTCTGATGATCCCATATTTCTCCCTGAGGGATCCCCAAAATGTGATATCTGAAAAAAGCAGGATGTGGGGCTCCAAGACTTCAGAGAAGTGTTTTCCAAGAAACTGTTCATATCTGTTTGCTAAAAATTAGGACTGTGGTTTAATAACTAGTGAGAACATTGGATCAAAGTTAGTTAAAGAGCCATCTTTATTCGGGAAATTTTCAGAGGCCTTAATCTGCTAAGATGAGCCATGATTCTGTAAGACGAGATGTGTGGTATTTTCCTAATTTGTTGCTGGGAGAAACTTACTACCCTGGGAATCCTCTGGTTCTCACTGAAAAGAGCAATCCTTTAAAACATAATTTGGAAATAAAGTGTTCTTGTCATGCAAGCCAGGACAATATCAACAGAAAATGGACACTATTATATTGGCACAAGGGGTATAAACAATTTATGTCCTGCATAACTTGGGGACATCTGGTCACCCTACTTAGGTGGCAGGCACAGCTTCTCCCCAAACAAGCTGATTGGGATAGCTCTAGAATGTTGGGGTTTTTAGCGGGGGAAGTGATATTGACAGACATTCGTACTGGAGATGCAGGAGGCACCGAGGACAGATGCATAGTTGACTCAGAGATTTTCAGTGCCCAGCGAGAGAGGGGGATTTGGGGAGGCTCTGTGGCAGAGCTGCAGACGGCAGCCGCTGGTTACACGGTGGAAAATGCCTCACCATCCTTGGGACTGGCCTCTCTGCTGCCCAGCTGACCACACCTCGCCCCGTATTTCAGCAGTGACGGGCTCACCAGTGGCATCAGGGCTTGGTGTGAGAGCCTGTGACCCTACTTGTAAAACGTTCCACTGCAAAAACAAACAGGCAGCTCCAAGGACCCTGGGAAAAGAGGATGCCATTTCACCCAGGATCTGCCAAATCAAACAGTCTGGGAAAAACATAATAAATAACTTTCTTAGAACCTAATGAGAAACGGCAAGTGTTTCTAATTCAGGCTTCCTCTGGGCCCTGCTTTCTGCGGGCCATGGATGCTGGTCTTGAAGTTCTTGCTGGGTCACTGTTGGCTTCGATACCCTCTGAGTGAATGCATGTATTCCATGTTGCAGACTGCCCATCTCCTCCTCCCCAGGCCAGGTAACTTTTCAAATCTTTTAAAAAAAAATTATTTATACATACAAGAGCTGGGGTACAGGCCAGAGGTGCGGGGGGTGAGAGGATTCACCAGGGACAGAGCGGGGAGCAGAACAAGCAGATCCACTGAAATACACTGCTGAGGGGAGCAGCAGGGAGACAGGAGAGGTCTACTGGGCCATGTGGGTTGCTCCCTGGCTGGGGATCAAACTCATGCTGCAGTGGCTGCTGATTGCTTCATAGTGCTGAGACTTAACCCTTTGCGCCACCAGGGAGGCCCAGGACATAGTCTTTGAAGATATAGTTAGTTAAGATGAGGAGCAGGCCATAATGGAGTAGGGGCTCCTGAATCCAATGTGATTGGCATCCTTGTGTGAAAAAGAGGAAAGATGCAGATGTAGAGACCCCCCTGAAGAAGGCCATGTGGCAGTGGGGACAGAGATGGGGGTGATGTATCTGCAAGTCAAGCAGCCTCCAAACCAAGAACAGTGACCTTTTCCCTCTGCATTGCATCTTCTGGCGCTCTATCAATTCTTACTGGTTTGTCTCTCACATGCCCGCTGCTTTTTGACCAGGGAGCACCATCCTCAGCCCCACCCCTGTGCTACCTGCAGGTCTGGGATAGAGAGGGTGGGCCCTTCCCGGGCCCACAGCCACCTCACTGTCATCTTAGGGCATATCCATCCTGCGAGCTTCTCCTTGGCCCGGCTGAATCTTGCTTCGGCTTTCTGCTTCCCCCCAGGGATGTGAATACATTCATGAACACAGTTTGCATGTAATTTTAATGCATTTACAAACCTCCTGTAATCCATTCTGAGGCCTCACAATAAGGATGACCAGGCAGAGTAAATATCATGGGATTGAAGTGAGGTAGTCGGTCTTCTGGCCTCTTGCTGGAACCCCTGTGTATCCGTTGTCCTGATTGCATATTTCAGCATGTGTTCTAGTCCTTCCCTTATGCTGCTGCCTGGGAGTAAGGCAGCAGTTGTGATTCTGAATCCGACACTGACGGATTCTCAAGCTGATCCCAAAGAGATGCCCATACCAAATGTTACAAAGGCGAACCATATGGGAGCCCCAGCACTCTGGGCCATTAATAGGAATTTTTAAACGACTGTGATTGATGGTGTGGCTCTTACAAGTCCAAGATCAATGAAAATGCATCTTGATCTTTTGAACTCCCTCATTTTTTCTTGGATCCTTTTCCTGTAGGATGAGGCCTATTTCTGGGATGCCTGAAGGCATATGGGGCTCCTCCAATGGGTTTGCCATCCATGCCTCTGCCAGCCATCCGCCAGTGGAAGGGCCAGGGTTGGACGGGATTGGAAGCCAGCATGTTCATCACAAGGTTAAATGCCAAGTCAGGTCTTTCGAAGTGGGAATTCTACTTCCTACCTGGAAAGGGACCAAATCAGGAACACCATTTACCTTATTACTAACCAAGACATGTTAATAAGGTAGATTTTTATGTGCTTGAGTTTGTTTCTCAAGTTCATTAATGGGCATAAAAGGAACTCCTGCTGCCCTGCCCCCGACCTTGTACCAAGGTACTGAGGAGTTTCGTAGAGCATTTCCCTTACTTTGGAGTCCTGAACTCTTATCCACATCTGAGAGCCCCTCTCCGGAGAATACACTCATGAATACAGTTTTGCATGTGATTTTAATGCATTTACAAACTTCCTGTAATCCATTCTGAGGCCTCACGTTAAGGATGACCAGGCAGAGTAAACATACGGGATTGAAGTGAGGTAGTCAGATTGAGGTGGAAAACGATAAAAGGTAAGAAACCGTATTTTTGTCTTGTTTCATATCTTTCTTTGAAAGATATTTTCCTTGGTTCAACAATTCTGAGAAATTACCTAATTTTTCTCCTCTACTCCCACTGTAGAAGTCCACAATGCAACATACTAAATCACATGTTCTAAGAAACCCTAAATTTAAAGAAACACAGAATTAATTTGACCTCAGAATCTTATGTTTTTTTAAAAAGATTTATTTATGCAAAAATTGGGGGTACAGGACAGAGGCACGGGAGGGTGGGAGGATTCACCACAGACAGAGCAGGAAGCAGAACAGGCAGATGACTGAAAACACTGCTGAGGGGAGCAGCAGGTAAGACAGGAGAGGTCTGTCGCACAATGTGGGTATCTCCTTGGCCAGCTGGGAATCAAACCTGCACTGCAGAGGCTGCAGACAGCTCCACAGTACTGTGCTCAACCTGCTGCACCACCAGGGAGGTCCAGAATATTTGTATATCACACATCCAATATTCCACTGAATATACTTTGGGAAATATTGGCCGACAGTAAATGTGAACCAATGTGTAGAACATTCTGTAACTTAGTCTCATCCATGGAAACTACTGGCTTCTACTCTTTTCTTCACTTCAAACTACACCATGTGCTCCTGACCCTGCTGTGTCCTGGACAGCACGGCCATCAGTGTCCATGGCTACACGGGCAGAGGTGTGGCATGGTGCCCAGAGCAGGGCTGCCTTTCTTCACCACCCTGAGAGGTACCATGAGCTTGCATTTTGCTGCAGAATGTGCTGCTCTCCTCGAGTACAACATTAACAGCCGTTGTCTGGACTCAATCAATAGGAAGTGCAGTTGTTGGGCTGTGTGGGAGACCTGGTTGAAAGAAAGTCAAAGAAAGTGGATCCAAGAAGGTGGTATTGGAGGTGGGCCTTGAGACACACAGGGACCTAAATCAGCATCCTTGGCAGGGAGGATGTCATGAGAAGGAGCACTGGGACATGAATGTCAGGGAGCCAGTGAGCTGTGGAGCATGTGCTCGGGAACAGACACGCAGTCAGGTGACTTCAGACTGCATATTTTATGATTCGTATTTAGGAGGTTTCAGCAACGCACAGACTGAACTTCATTTAAGGGTCCTGAGTTGTGGTAGAAAATAGGGACCTGGTGAGCCAGGTGTTTGGCAGAACATTCCAGACACTCCTACCTTGGACATTTGCCAGACAGCATGGTTTTCTTTCCCTTTTAATATCTATCTACATATACCTGTCTCTGTCTTTCTGTCTCTCTGACTCTCTCTATATGTGTATATCACAGATATGTTGATTGCGAAGCCCTGCTGTTCTGTGGGAAACATATCCATCTGTTTCTGATTCTTTCACAAACTTAATGAAGCATTATTTCATATGAACGCTTGGATAGTGAAGCATCTTTCAGAACAATTTCATAAACTCTCTTACGCCTATTTCCTTTGAAGCCGGAAGTTGCTATTTTGCCTAAAGAACGTGGATCTTGAGCCTGAGATCCCTAGTGTGGGATACCTGCCTCCTCCCGGGGTTCCCCACTGGGCTAAGGTGTCTCCCCATTCTGGACCCAAGGCTTCCCCAGTTCTATGGCCCAATGGGCAGGCTGAATCTAGTATTTTCTGTGTTTGCTGTGCTGCTCATTGCACCTCTGAGACTGATCAGCTTCTTGGCACCTTCAACTCGCTTAAAGCAGCAGAGGAAGTGAGCTCAGCACGCAATATTGAAATGCTCCCTCCAAATCAGATTTCTTCGAACAAGGTAACTTGTAGGAACATGTGGATACTTATTGAGAGGGCAGCTGTCTCTCCAATTTCCCTTTGGCCGTGATGTCAGGAACTACTTCCTACTTATCTCTGAATCTCCAGGATTTTTCGCGGGGTCCAGCACAAGATAAGCACTCAGGAAATGTGCACTGACGAACTGTGGGCTGAGGGGTCAGTGTGTGAAAATAAAATCCAGAGACATTCTCTTCAACCAAACTAGGGTAAACTAAACCTTTTTCTTCTTAAAAAAAAATTCTCAAAGTATCCTTGTCTATCTGAGGATAAAAACATCTATCCCTTCTTGGAGGTGAAGTTTAGGTTTGCTATATAAAGACAATAATTATTGCTTTGTTGAAAAGCCTATCATGTCTGCTAGGAACTTGAATTCCAGGTGGCTTAATTAACGTGAAAGAAGACAGATTTGGAAAATATAACTTTTTTTGCTATGGAAAGTGCAACACTTATTTGAATATATTGGTTCAATGTAACCAGTCTTAAGATTTTTATCATAATGGTTTTGATTAACAGTCAGAATTGCCAAAGGAATTTGAAAGTTTGAAACATAAATGATTTTTATCTGGAAACGAAAACCCTGAGCAAAGTGAAATCAGGCAAGAGTTATGGACACAGGCAGTGGTTAGAAATGCATCTATTCTCTTCACAGAATATCTGTAAGACTCTCTCTCCTATGTGATTAAAAGTTAGGAAAATCAAAAAAAAAAAAAAAAAGACCAAGTTTGATGAAAATGGCGGGCACTTAATCAGCAATTACCAGCTGCCAGGCCCATTCTCAATACTTAATCTCCATATTTGCTTTGATTTTCACAGCAACCTTAAGGTATGAACTAATTTTGACTCCATTTACCAATGGGGAAATCAAGGTACAGAGACATTTTTATTTGGCTCAGGTCACCCAGCAGAGGCAGGAGCTAATCCTAAGCTGTAAGTCTCCAAATTCTGACCTAAATGCCTGACTAGTTGCCAGAACCATAATAGATGCTCTGTTTACTCAGGCCTCTTTCAAAAATCAGGAGTTGTGGATGGTTGACAGGGTGAAATGAACTTGGAAAAAAGGAAAAATACTTCCATCTATGCCCACGCAAAAACCTGGTACTTGCACACCCACACAGGCAACACACACAAAAACACGGGATGGAACTTCACAGAATCAGAGCCCCCTGGCACTGTGAAATCTTTCCTAAAATAATAATAAATAATAAACTCCCGAACATATCCATACAGACTGAAGGAATAAAAACATGCCTAATGAATCTTCTAGAGCTAGAAAAGATTCTCATATTTATAAAAACTCTTAGCCCCCAAGATAAAAATATTATTCAGCTAGAACATTAACCACATTCATAGGTCACTTGTTTAAATTCACTTAAATACTGCTGCATTGTATTTATGCAATGAAAGGTGGCTGAATGTAGTTTTTCTGAATCAAGCATATTTTAACAATAGCCAAGAACGGGGTATATTTAATAATCCTATTCTGAATAGTTTTATGGAGAAAGATTCCATTTATGATAACAATAATTGGATCCTGTTGGGGTCTCCATATCTTGACTTGTCTTAAAATGACTTCACCAGCATCACATGTGAACACAGTTTGATTTCCATAGCTCCCTGCAGCCTCCCCTGTCACTGAACTCAGGCTTTGAGGTTCCTGCTACTTTATTTCATGTTCACAGAACTTATACTACTGTAGCTCTCATCAAGTTTTCTGTTCAAGGTGTTGGGTCAACAGAGCCTTGGACAATGATGCCACTCTTCCCAGGATACACCTGAGCCAAAAAAAAATACACCTGAGTCCACATACCCTGGTGAATCAGTCCTGATCCAAAGGGAGCTGCTCAGCTCAGAACTCTGGATGGTGGTGGCATTCACACTCATGCCTGGAGACTGCACAGAGTAGAACATACACTGCACCTTAAAGTCAACTTGTTGCCCCAGCTCAGGCTTCAGTGGTTCAGAGGTGATGTGCTTCTCCACTGTGAAGTTCATGAACTCTGTGGCCAGTGACATTGTGCAATGTAAACCTTCTCAGGTCACATTTCTGAGTCACCAAAATGCACCATCCTGAGTCCTCCCTCCTGTTAGACTTCGTGCAAGCTCTACAGTCACTTTCTAAACTTGGTGAGCTATTGTTATGTAAGTGTAGATATCTGTCAACAGTGGTTTTATGACGCTCAAACATTTTAGTCAGTATTCTCTTGACACTTTTCCACCCATGAGTAGTTTTCAAACCGAACTTTGCTTTTAATTTGTTTTGTGATCATTACGCTTTTATTTTATTTTTTTTCACTGTCCATTAGAATGTGTCCCCCTCCATTTATCTGTAAAAATTCACTTGAACCTTCTATTGAAGATTCCATTGAAGCTTCTTCTTTGCTACATCCCACCATCCAAGTCTCAAACAAGATTTCCCAGGAATTTTATCTGAGTCTAGACCAGAGGATGGCAGCAAGTGGGTTGTATGGAATTTTCAACTGTAGACAATCTTAAAGTCCAGTGCTTAATTCTACTAGTCTGGAAGCTATTTTTGGAATTTTCTCAGTCTGACTTTTCTTAAAACTCATTATACAATTAAAACATGGATATATGGATAAATTCTTGCTGTAAAAATTCAAACTATGTCCCTAGCAAAGGATTTCAATTTCTTTCTTCAGTCTCTTCTCATGAAAAATCTTGAAGTCCATTGGCCCTTGTTCCTACTATACGGCAAATGAATTAGGCTTTTTATGCCACTAGACCCTGTGGCTGTCACCTGTGGCCTTGATCATGCTAATGCAGGAGGCACTTGGGTGCGAGGGCGTGGGGCATGTGTGCCTGATGGTGGACACCTGAAGCATGGTGTGGGTGTGCGTAAGTGTCCACACCTGAGCCTGGAGGCAGGGAGAAAGCTGTGGTCTCGGCAGTAGGAGGAGGAGCGTGTGACCACAGAAGAGGTGAGACCAAGAGACTACTCCAGAGAGAATCCAGAGAAAATCCAGAGAAAGAGTAAAGGTCCGTGGGGGGCTGGGAGGCTCGGTTGCCTGACTGCTCCCAGTTCCCCCTGCCAGGCCTGTGCCTGCCTCCTTGCATGCCAGCCCCCCCTGCCTGGAGGGCCTGTGCACCTGGTTCCCTGAGAGAGCACTAAAGGCCTGCAAATCCACTGGTGGCACCACGACTCTCCTTTATCCTTCTGCCCAAATCCATAGTGGACCTGCCCTGGGCTTTCTGGCACTAGATGACACAGGTAAGTTTGCTGGAACTTGTTAGAGTTTATGTGGGTCTTTCCAATATAGGAACCCTTGGATAATCATTAATACAATTCTCTACCATAATTTTTATGGCTATTTTGGATGAAGTAAATTAGCATCATTAAAACTACTATCTTCTAGCATTCAAGGAGCAGAGATACATGCCTGGCACTATTTTATTTAAATTTATATTTAAGCTAATGAGCATTTTATTTCTATTTTTCCTGAAAAAGAGATGAGATCTAGAGAAGTTAAGTAACTTGTTCAGTAAGAGCCAGACCTGACATTTAAACTGAATTTACTTGACTCCTAAAATCCATGTGTCAGTGGCATGATGCAACCAGCTAAGACTTGATTCTGCCTACCTCTTCCCAACTCTGTCTTCAGTCACCTCACATGAGTAGTTTGAAATCCTGCATTTATTCCATGGAAACCTGTAAATTCTACAAACCAATGACTTGTCCTCTTTTGGAGACCTTATTTTACCACTCTGAGTGTTGTACTTTGCCGAACAAATTCTTTGCAGAGACCATAGAATTAAACCATGAGAGTGATGTAGGGGACCAGTGTCCAGAAACGTCTGCACAAATATGTCCCACTAGTTTGGGGACTGAATGAGCTATTAAAAAATTCCAGAGCTAGGGAGCCTGCATTGACAAGCACCCAGTACCCATCCTTGGTCCCCCACAAAGCACCGTTTAATGGAGGTTGTATCAATGTTTGTTCCCTCTTAAGGCTGTCTCTCAGTTACTTTACCATCTCCCCTGAACTCCTTACAAATTTTGGGGAGAGAAGGGGCCTCTGCAATTATGGTTAAGCCAGATCTTCAGGGACTGATTATACAAGTGGTGGATAATCCAGTTTTTCTTCTCCATCCCTCCTCCTCATCACCTTCTGGCCTTTTTTTACTGCTCATTAGCACCTCAGCCAGAGACCCAGCCTTGGGGAGAGAGGATGGGTGTGGGACTCCCACCAGCCCATCTGGCTTCTTGCTCACAACCCGTGTGTAGGTTTTGTTGAGAGGAGTAACTTAGAGACGAGGTAATGGATCCCTAGCACATGAGGATTTTATTCAGCTGACCTACCCAGCTTGGCCTCACCCACTCCCAACACTCCCTGTACTGGTGCCACAAATCATTGAAAATTGGTTGCACGGCCTGTTGTCTTGTTCCGTGACTGTTTTATTCACTTGAGAACATTTCACTAGTGACCAATTTAGTTAACAGCAATGGAGGATCTGGCTGAGCACTGTTCAGAGTCAGAGTGAAGATTCAAATGAAGTAATGCTCATAGTTTCAGCCTGAGGGTAAGTGAAAGGAGGTGTGGGAAGATTTCAGGGACATCCCTTTAGCTGCTGTTCCTTAATGCTGCCTAAAATTGTAGTCGGAGGAGAAAATGGGCTTACTTTTTGAATATCATTTAAAAATATTTTGTATTTTAGAGATACTTCAAAAATTAAAACCCACATACATTATCTCAGTATTAAATAAAATCTTGACTGTTGGCCAAATCTTGAGTATGATTTCCACCTGGCTGTCATCTACCACATTAATACATTTATTTACCAAATATAGATGAACGTCTATTAGGAGTATGTAGTGGAACTAGAGTAGCAGATACAGAACTAAGGGTGTATCGAGTAAAATAGACATGATCTCTCTCAGCCTGGTTGCTGCCTTACTGGGAAGATAATCATGCAAATAAGGTAAGTAAAGATAATTACAATTAGCGATAAACAGCATGAAACTAATAAGGGCTCAGCTGTGTGGAGTTATGGAGGGTCACATTTTAGATGCACTAGGGATGGTCAGAGAAGGCTTCCCAGGGAAGAGCTCTCACAGCCCTGAGGGAGGAGGAGACCAGGCAGGCATGAAATTGGGGAGGGCCATGAAAGTGAGGGACAGTGAGCCCAGAGGCTCCGTGTCGGTGAGTAAGTGGGAGTCGAGAAATCCAATTGGAGATGTAGTTGGGGATGAGGGTGGGATGGGAGCAGAAGTACAGGGCCTCACAGACCATGGCACAGTATTTAGGCAATAATTTAAGTGCAATGGGAAGGCTTGGAGAGTGGTAAGCAGGGGAGAGGCATGAAATGTGTTTTTAAAAGTCCACCTTACCTTGTCTGCTGCGTGGAGAATGTCCTGTAAGGACCAGGGTTGAAAATAAGGTGCCAGTTAGGGGAACTGTGGTGAGTTTCTAGATGAGAACAGATCTTGAGATACCTATGGTGATGATAGTGAGGATGGAGGTAGGTGAACAGACTGAAGACATTGTGGAGGTAGAATTTCTAGAAATTTTTTGACTGCATGTATGTTGTGTGGGGATTGAAGATCGAGATGATCTGGAGGTTTCTGCCTTGATGTGGTTCTGTTTCTGAGATAAGAAAGAGGCAAGAATTACGAGTTCTTTTGTAAACATTTTCATCCTGAGGTACCTCTCCCCGAGTTTCAACTCTTAATTCCCATAAAGGCCCTAGGAAAGATTTTTATAAAGTAGAAATAAAGGAGTGACTATTAACATTGAAATACATGAATTAGTTATATAGTCTGACTGAATTTACACTGGTTTCTATTAGTATTTTTTCCTAAATATTTATAATAATCTAGTGCACATATCGCTCTAGAATTTTGTTAGAAATTATTTAATTTTCTGGAAATCATTGTTTTGCTCCTTTTGATTATCAGTTAGTATAATTATCTTTAATCTCCTGATAAGGGGACTATTTGTAATGCAAATCAAATCATTGCTGCCCATGTTTCTGAGGTCTCACCTGCCAGCCTTACTAAGAACTAACCACATGTGTTGAACATTCTTCTGTCATGCCTTTTCCCAAGAGCTTGATATGCATGGCAAGATATTTAACTACTTATTTAAATGCTTATTTAAACCTCACACCAACAATGAGAGGTTACTTTTATTATATCCATTTTAAATAAGAAAAAATAAATGGAAAATATTTACTTTTCTGAATTCATGTACATAATGACGTCCTAGATTGTTAGACTGGTCTATCTTAAGAGACTCTGATCTTTTAACCATCAAATTCTATTGTCTCTCGATGGCTTGGAGAACAGTCCATATGAACTTGCCATTTAAACCATCTTAGCTGTGTAAGTCAATGTTTCTGAAATGAACTTCATCAGAATCACCTAAAGAGCTTGTTAAAGTAAGAGTTTCCGGGCTACCCACACCTAAATCAGTGTCTGTTAGAATCGGGGCTGGGAATCCGTGTCTTTAAAAGTTTTTCAAGTGATTGCAACGTACCCAAATCTACAGAGGTAAATTTGTGGCTGAGTGATATGTTACCTTGCAATCCCTTCTCTCCTTTTGAGAACGTTTCCTTCTGTTTGGTGCTTGTTCTATTTTTTCAGTTCCCAGATCATTCATGATTCAAATGCAAATGTTAAATGTTTGTTTTTTGTTGCTGAACTGTATGGATTTTTTAAAAAAAGATTTATTTATTTATACAAGCACTGGGTACAGTCAGAAGCATGGGAGGGTGAGAGAATTCACCAGAGCGGGGACCAGAACAGGCAGACTGACTAAATACACTGCTGAGGGGAGCAGCGGGCGTGGCAGGAGAGGTCTGCATGCCATGTGGGACCCTCACTGGTGGCTGGGGATCGAACTGGTGCTGCAGAGGCTGCGGACAGCTTCGCAGCCAGCGCTCAACTGCTGCGCCACCGGGGGAGGTCCTGAACTGTATGGATTTTTTAAAATGTATTTTGGAAATTGATCCTTTGGTGGCCCTATGATGAACAAACACCCTCTCCCAGGTTGATTTTTGGCTTTTGTGGTGGTTTCTTCCACTGTACATTAGCCTTTCAGTTGGATATAGTCCCATTTGTTGATTTTTGTTTTTGTTTCTCTTACCATTGGGGTTGAGTTCCCAAATATATCATCGTGGTTGACGCCCGGGAGAGTATCAGCAATGCTTTCCTGTATGTATTTATGGCTTCATGTCTTACATTCAAGTCTTTAATCTATTTTTGAATTAATTTTTGTGTAAGTGTCTGTTCTTTTCATTTTGCTGCAAGTATCTGTCCAAGTTTCCCCATGCCATTTGTTACAGGTTTACCTACTCCATTGCATGACCATGCCTCCTACGTCAAAGATTAGCCGTCTGTCTGTGCAAGTTTTTTCTTAGGCTTTTTATTCCATTTCATCAGTCAGTGCTTCTGTTTTTGTTCCAATGCCACATTGTTTTTGGTTACTATTGACATGTAGTATAGTTTGAAGTCGGGGAGGAAGATGCCTTCATTCTTTTCTCTTTGGCTATTTGGTAACTTCTGTGGTTCCATACAAATTTTTTATAACTCTTCTAGTTCCTTAAATTGTCATTGGGGTTTTGCTAGGTATTGCATTGCATCTGTAAACTGCTTTAGGTATCACGTCCATCGTCCATTTGAACAATGTCAGCTCTTCCAATCCATGACCTTGGAGTATCTTCCATTTCTTTGTGTGTCATTCTGTTTGGCAGTTTCTTATAGTTTTCAGTGCATAGTTTATTCCCAGGTATTTCACCCTTTTAATGCAATTGTAAGTGGGATTGTTTTCTTAATTTCTTTGTCTTATAGTTGTTTGCATGCAGAAACACAACAGATTTTTGTGTATTGATTGTTGTATACTGCCACTTTACCGTATTAATGTATTTCTAGTAGGTTTTTTTGGTAGAGTCTTTTGGATTTTTTTTATGTACTTTTGTATTTCATCTGATAAACCCTGAGCTAGGCTTTTTAAGAGAGAAAACCCAAATGAAAGGAATCATAATGAAAGAGGTAAAATCACACCAGACACTTCAGAAATACAAAAAATCATAACACTACTATGAACATCTATATGCAAGCAAAGTAGACAACCTAGAAGAAATGGACACATCTTTAGAATCACACAGCCTTCTAAGAAGACAGATGAAATTTCCATCCTTAAGGAAGTTAAGGAAATATGGGATATAAATATAGAAAGCTTTAAATAATGACAAAAGAATTAGAGAAAAACCACAAACTGCACCCACTGTATCTCAACTTAATATTTATTCCTGGTATGTATCTGTCACTGATCAAATTTATGTTACTTTCATGTTGTTCAACTGCTATATACCAGCATCTCAATATTGCTTGGTGCAGCCAAATAAATGAAGAGATATGAGATATTGCCAGCAGAAAATTGAGTAGTCAAGAAGAGTATCATGGGGGACTAGAGACAGGGTCAGTGTCTGGAAGGAAGAGGTGGCTTTAGGGGATGGAATCCAGTCACACTGCAGAGAAGAGGTCTGGGGGGAGAGAACAACATGGGCAGCAGCGTGGAGTCACAGCATACACTTCGAGCATAGGATTTGTGCATAAACTACTTTGGCTGGATCAAAAGGGGCACTTAAATAAATAATTGATATCCAAAGGTCTAATGCACCATCTGCAAGAATTCTTTGGAGCATTTAATTTATGGGCTGACTGCAGTGCACGGTGGAAATGAACTCTGTAATGGTCATTGTGAAACTCCTTCCCTACACACCCCCTTGCATAAGGAAGTCACGTGGATTAAAATATCATCTATAGGAAAATAACAAGTAGAGGTTACATGTCTTCCTGAGATGATGCTTAGAAAAGAATGTCCTGATGAGAGTGGGTCGTGCTGACTGAGATTTTAAGGATGTTGCATGAACTTCTAATTTTTTAGATTGGAGTTCTGGCTTCTTTTGGTGTTCCCTTCACTCTCTTATGACTTTTCCATTTAAACTTGAACAATTTATTTTTTCCATTGCTTTCTTTGACATGACCTTCAATGGATCCACCATTTTAATATTATATTTTATAAAGTATAGAGATAAAAGTCCCAGTTGTTCTGCTGATGTAGCCTAACCTATTAGCCCTCAGTTAAGTATATTACTGACCCTCAGTGTCTTTACTACCAATTAAAAAGGTTAATAAAAGCATTTTATTTTTTTGTTCTTGTTAAGGCACACCTCTCAATGTTTATTTTTCCATTAAGTGCTTTTGTTTTTTATTTGTTTTTAACTTTTTCATTTTCTTGCATTGCTGTTCATTTTTGCACAGTTTTTGATTTCTCCCCTCAGGTGTAGTCCGCATAGGTCTCCCAGCACCACAGTCCCTGGTGCTCCTCTCTCCCCTGCTCCTACCCCTCTCTCCACATCGCTGCTGTATGCCTCAGATCTACCGTGTGCCTGCATAAACTTGAACAATTTAGACACAGACACATGCACTCATAATCATGCCCTTGTGCAAATAAAAGTGCATATGCGCACAGAAGTGTGAGTGTGTGTGTGCACGCAGGCCCCCGCTCCCAGGCACACAGCTTCTATTTCCTCTCATCTGGCAGCTTTCAGAATAATCTCACCCACCTGTTAAATCAGAGTATGTCAAGTTTAATTTATAACAGTGAGTGGAAACAGGATGCTACAGAAAGCATTTTAATTAAAATCCTTTAATTGGATACATGCTTCTTGTGAAAAGGGAGCTGTGGAGAGGGCCTCTTTGTCGGCACCTTTCACTCCAGTTGCCAGAGATTGTTCCAGGAACGGCCTTGCAATTGGAACCAGCCCTCTGGGGGTGGTGGTGGTGGAGGTGGAGTGGGATGTGTGCAGGCCAACAGAGGGAAATTGGGAGCAATAGAGGAAGGACAAAGGGGCAAATGGCCATGAGTCCTGAGCAGAGACTTGGCCTTGGTGTTTTCTGTGGAAAGCTATTGGTGTCCTTTCAAGTTTGTTTTTCCTTAATCCTTTTATCATCTTAGGACGGGCGGTCTCCAGAGGATCCGCAAACACTCCTGACTTCAGGCACTGGCTTAGAAACTCTTGACCGTGTAGGTCAATTGGTGAGGGTGGGAGGTGGATGATGACAGTGTGGGTTTGGGGTGGGGGCAGCCTTTGCACCTGGTGTGCCCTAAGAGATAGCACTTAGTTGTATCCAGTCCACACTGCAGGACAGACACTGTTGGACTCAGTCAGAGCACAGTTAAGGAAGGGGCTGTATGCTAAAGTGGGGGGCCTGGCCTGGAAACCATCCTGTGTGCTCCTGTGGGGTGACAGAAATATAGGGTGCCAAGGAAATAGAAAAGCACAGAGGTATTCTACTGGAAACAGAATAGCTGAGAGGAGTGGGAACTGGAAGTACTTTAGTGTCAGGTATGATGTCAAGGAAACAGAAGACCCTAAACTGAGCTCATTAAAGGTGGGGGAGGGTGCATGGCTTCTTACCTTCTAGATTTTACATCAACCTGCTATGTCAGAAGGTAATTCAAGAGGGGGTAAGTGATAATGATTCCATCTTGTGAGCTGAGAAAATCAGTACCCACTTGGTAGACCTGGGAGGACTTTCAGAAGTTATTTATCCATTGCTGCTGCTGGGGGCCTGGAGGCCATGATCACCAAGGAAACAATGGCAGATAGTTTTATCCATTTACAATTATTGGTTTCTTCTAGAATTGTGATGCTAAGTGTTTGACAACTGGCTTTCAGAGGGGACAGAAGTCCTATTTATCTCATTTTCCAACTTCCATGATGTATGTATTTCCATCAGGGCTTATTTTAAGATTTTGATGGGGCACAGACTTATTAATGGTTTAACCAGTTGGTCATATTCCTGAAATTTAATAATCTGGCTGCCGCAAACCAGTGTGAGCTGGCTGCAACAAACCATTGCCTCTTAACTGCCACAAACCATTGCCTCTTAACTGCCCTCTTTAATATTCCCTGTAGGAGGTATTTCTTTTCCTCTCTTATTGGCTTTGAGATTGATCATATGACTTACTTTAGCCAATGGAAAATAAACGGATGATACAATCAGGCTAAAGTTTAAAGAGTTTGCAGGGTTTGACTTTGCTCTCTCCATTCTCTTTGAGCATCAGCCCTACACTTTAAAAATAGTGGGCCCCACCTCCCCAGTGGCACAGCAGTTGAGCGCTGGGTTATGAAGCTGCCCGCAGCCTCTGCGGCGCCGGTTTGATCCCCGGCTGCTCCCCGGCCACCAGAGGAGGGTCCCCGGCGCGCAGACCTCTCCTGCGGCCCCCAGAGGAGGGTCCCACATGGCGCTCCAGACCTCTCCTGCCGCCCGCTGCTCCCCTCTCTCAGTGTACTTCGCTTCTGACTGTACCCCGCTCTGCTTCTGGTGAATTCTCTCACCCTCCCGCGCTTCTGACTGTACCCAGTGCTTGTATAAATAAATAAATAAATAAATAAATAAATAAATAAATAAATCTTAAAAAAAAAAAAAAAATAGTGGGCCCCAGTTAGTGACTGATCCTTCACCTGGGTCCCAGGTGAAGACCTTCGTTCAGTGTCTTCAGCATAATCAGGCAGAGTCACCACCAAGTTGTAGCTCTTAAGTAATGTGGGCAAAAAAATAAATGTTTGTTTTTATAAGACACTCAGATTTTGGGGGGTGTGACTAATACAAGACAAAAACTTTTAAAACTTGGAGGGATTATGATTTTATTTAGTGTAAATATAGACACATCACACTTTTACCTTCATTTCCTTTTAGACTTTTTGTACTTTTGCAAGGGAGTATGGTAGAGAACAGAAAGTTTTGTGAAATAGCACCAGTGTAGAAATATTCTAAACTGGAACAATTTCTGCCTTTTTTATTTAGCTTTAGGTTTTATTTGTCCTTTTTGGTTCTGTTCATCTATCCAAAAAAAATAAATAAATACATGCTAGATACTTACATTTTCACCATTTTACCCAGAGCAGGTTTGACTCCGTCAATAATAATTCATCTGGAAGACAACAGTGACAACACATTGCTGACAGCTCAAGCTAATTACAAAACCTCAGTGATGCCCTTGAAAGTCCAGTTTTATCAGATGCTTATGCCTCAATTGAATCAAGATTTTCCCTCATTATTTCAGGTGCTGGTATTTGTGCTCAAAAGTGTGGAATTTTATGACCATTAAAGGTCAAATTTCAAGAGTTTTCTTTTTAAAGAAAATTTTGTGGAATCTAAATGTGAAGTCCAGTCATACTCAATTCATTGGCAACCAGATCCACTTAGAGGTGAAACCTCATTTCCCAGGGGTTTCATGTCAGAGGGGAGAGTTCCCTCAGGTTGCTCCCCCTTCCTCCAGATTTCAGTTGTAACAGAGAATCTTTTCACAAAATGTAGTCAATTTATATTTCAGGAATGTAAAGAATATTTCATTAGCTCTTCTGGACTCTGGAAAATCTTATATTCTTTCCCAAGTGATTTGGCCCACCATTTTGGCACACGCTGAGAACTCACACACCTGGCAAACCACCTCAACTTTCTTGACACTCCAAAGGAGGTCTTCAAACCCAGAGGCATGGTGAGCTGTGTTCAACGTGTCCAAATCCAAGAAGCATGAAAACAGAAATGTTCAGAGATGGGGAGAAAGGATTGAAGACAAGGGAAGAAGGAAGACAGAGTTTCAAATAAGAAAGGAAAGAGCTACTCATCTGCTTGAAGTTTAACAAAGACAGACATGTCCCAGAGTTTATTCTTGAATTCATTAATGTTCATTATCAGATGCTCATCTTCAATCCAGTCATCATCTTGTTACTAACATCAGATTTCTTGTGACGCTTGAGAGTGATGCAGGCCTAATTTTCTGACACTGAATAATAATAAAACCAATGTTTACTCTGGGGATCACAATTCTGCAAACACAAACAAAATCTTCGAGCTGAGAGTTACTGTTAATTCTATTAGCTGTGACTCAGTTTTTGGCCCCACATCAGCCAGGGGACTTGGGAAATGTGGGAGCGGGAGCTCTCCCCTAGACACAATGGAATTAAAGACCAGTATAATAAAACAGTATTCAAACACATCGTCCATGTTCCATAGTGATTGTTCTCTGACATGTGGAAAGCATCCAACACAGTGACTGGCACAAGCGGAGAGTCATGTTGGTTTCCCTATGATCATCATCACTGAATTGAGATTCAGCACCAGGAGTAACTTGGCACTTGAACACTAGGAGTGATTTTTTTTTTTTTTAAACCAGATTTTGATTACTGAACTGTGACTCCTGGAGGTTCTATTGGGTGTATCTTTGTTTCAATCTGGATAATAACACTGAGAAGTCACTTGATTATTGAAAAAATGAATTAAGTAATAACATGAATGTGTGAATGACAGAAATTAGGGTTGAGTGGAGGCACATTACAGCACATAGATATTTTTTCTAGAGCTCTAGTTTCTGTGGAGTTGGTTTCATTTGCTCTGTACTTGGTTTTGTTTTATCTGTGGGGATCTGCAGGGAATAGGAAGAGGTTGAGGAGGGAGAAGGGAAGTTTGTGGGTGTTTGGAGCCCAGCACCAGTTAGGAAGAATATGGGAAAGGATGCTGGTAATATAGATGAATTTTGGGTCTAGAGCTGGATTCTTGGATTTGGAAAAATAGATTTTCTATTTGTGGGATAGCAGATCATAATTAAGGGAAAGAGTCAATACAGTTCATTTATCCAAGACTCATTTTTTTATCCACCCTTATAAATTCAATAAATACTTATCATTAGGTATTCATTACTTATTGAGATAAAACAATAGACAAAGACACAATCTTTTAAAGTCTAGTTGAAAGAAGAAGGCAAAAGGACATCATTTAAAGTTCTTTTGTGTACAACTCGAGTTTTGCATTCTACAATTTCTTGTCAGAGACAAAAATTTCGTAAGTAGTGCTCCCTTTGTGAAGGGCTTCACTGAAGAAAACACACTTTTATTGAAGTTGCTACTCTGATTAGGAGCTTTTCTCTCATCTGTTTTTGGGTGGGAACACAACCTTTTATAGAAAACAGTAAGAACATAAAAATGGGTGGAATACTACTCAGCTCTGAAAAAGATTTTATTGCTATTTGCAACAACATAGATGAAACTGGACGGGATTGTGCTGAGTGAAATAAGTAGGAGAAAGAAAAGTATTGCATGGTGCCATGTGTGGAATATACAGAAACAAAATAGACAGTCAAATAAAGCCAAATCAATAACAAATTGTGGAAATCTCACTTTAGACCTGAAGCTACCAGAGGGGGTGGGTGAAGGGAGAAGAGAAAGAGGAGGGAGAACAGTGAGCAGTGGTGGAGGACTGTGGGTATTCTGGTGGTGGGTCTGATAACAACACCTAAAAGAGGAGGTCCTTTGCATCACAAATAACATTATAAACCAATGTTACTTCAATTTATAAAGTAAAAAATGGAAATTCCATCTGATCCAGAAATACCTCTGCCAGGTATTTACTCAAAGAATATGAAAACATTTCATAACTCCTATGTTCATTGCTGCATTGTCCACAACTGCCACGCCATGGGACAGACTAAGTGGCCAATGGATAAAGAAATTATGGAAAGTATTAATGAAATACTCAGCTATTGAAAAGGATGAAATAGTGCCTTTTGGGACAAACTGGGTGGACCTTGTGGCGATTAGGCTAAGTGAAATAAGTAAAAAAATGAAAGACAGATATCAGATGGTTTAACTTATCTGTGGTACATAAATAACCCAAAAACATATGCTGGCAAAATACAGCAAAAACAAATATTGTACTTAGTGAAAAATTTACTAGGGGGTGGAGAGAGGGGGAGGGTAGGGTTAGGGAGGTGACATGCCACTGACATAGGACTGTTGGTGGAGGGTCAGAGAAGCCTGTGTCCATATGGGGAATAAAAATGTAACCTCACAGTTACATGTACGCAACTGACAAATTTAATTAAAAAATAAAATAGAAAAAAATAAAAGGCAAGTTTTCTAGCACACATGTGCACGCATGTGCGTGTGTGTGTGTGTGTGTGTGTGTAGAATTCCTAATCATACCTATGTATTTTCCTTTCAAGTAAAATATGAAACATTTGGTTTCATGGTGTAGTTTCTGGGTCAAAGGGCCTGTGCCAGCAGTCGCTGGTAATGACAAAAATGCAATCTTGTGACCATAGGTGACAAAGAGAAAAGAAATACAACCAGTTTCTTCCAGAAGAAAGATAGGCTATGGTGGTGTAGTTGTTTCTGGCAGGAAACAGACAAGGCAAAGGGATTAGGTATTGTCCATATTTTTGAAAATCATAGTCAATAAATTATCATAAGTCATAATTCAAATGAGGGCTGTTTCCTTGGAATAATTTTTAGGTATTTGGGGGTGATCTTGAGCATTAGTTGGTAAAACCAAATGGCAGAACCTTGGAAGAATTTGAACAGCCCTCTATGCTCCTAGAAGCTCATTGTCATGGGATTTGACCTAAAAACACTCTTTATACTGGCAGTTCTTAGTCACTTGCGGGAAAAGAAGCCAAGCTTGGTGTACTGTTTTCTGCCCACTTGGGGTAGTTCCAGCTGGTGTGAAGGACCAGCAGAAGCGTGGCAGCAGAGTTATTTCTGGTCCAAGTGCGGTTTTAGGACTGCATTTCCATGCCATCCCTCTATCTCCATCTCTATCTTCTTTTGAAAATTCCTTGTGGAAGAGCTGTTAAAGGTCTGACATAGCAGAGCAGAATGCCTGCCTGGAGAGACCATTCATCAAAAGGCAAAAATAAGTCATAGCTCCTAAAAAAAAGTCTACATTTCTTTCAAGTGCTGGTTCCTAACTGCACTCTATTTTAGGACCCATTACTATTCTTTGGCTACTATAGCTTGCTTTCTGTAATTCTCTCTTTGAACTGCTATGGGATAAGTGCAGGTCCTGGAAAAATAGTGATGTCAGTGATTTAACTTCCTGGAAGCCTCTCCCTTTTTTTTTTTTTTGGTAGAGTCTTTCCATTTTCTATTTGTTGCCCAACCTTTATGAAAATTTCTTCTCAGGAAAAGACCTGTCACCAATCATTCACACCTTGATACAAATTTAGACACCATGTAACCTTTCCCTGGGGTATAGGTACTTTAAGATTTTCCTCTAAATGTGTAACAGAGTTTGCCTGTTTCTAGAGAAATTTAAGCTAGACTCACGAAGCAATGTGATTGGTTTTTACTAGGCAGGAGCTTTCCCTGATATTTCATCTGGTAACTCTTATGTTTAAGGCTAACTTTCCCCATAAACTGGACTTCATTTCTCATCTTGGATGCAGTCTACAGGCCTGAAGGAACCTGGCCTTCCATGGAAGCCAGAGAGAGACTCCTACTTACCACTTACCTTATTCTTAGAGGGAAGGGTCTATAGAATATTGTATGGGTGTGGTTCACTTCTTCATTTCTGATAGGTAGACTCCAAGATGGCGCCCAATGACCTATACCTCCTACAACCCGCATGCGTATAGTGTTTTCCTACTTTGAATCAGAACTGACTGAGTGACCAATAGAATACAGTGGCAATAAAGGCCCGTGACATCTGAGACTAGGTCATAAAGTGCATCACAGCTTTCATCTTGATATCTTAGGTCTCTCACTCTGGGAGAAGCTATTGGCCACATTATGGCCCACTCAACTCAAGCTGTTCCATGGGCACACTCATGTGGAGAGAGACCAATGTCCCCAACAGCAACTAGAAACACTTGGCAACCATGTGATTAAACAACAGAATAGTTTGTCATATAGTAATAGAACTCTAATGCAGAGTTGAAGACAGTTGAATTCCCAATAGTGTCCTACAAGGTGGATTTATGTCCTCAAAGGAGGATGTGCTCTCTTTGTTTTGTGCTATCTATAAGGTCAAGACTCTTTCCAAATTTGGTCTGATAATTCAGCAGATTGACTTGCTGGGGTGGATTGCCAGTGTTCCTCTCTTCCTCTCTCTTCCTTCCTTGAGCCAGCCACACCCCAACAGAAGCATATGGTCTCTGTTTATTCTACACACTTACCCTGTCCACTACCACCCTCCTAGCCCCTTTCTTGTTTTTATTCAGAGTACAGGAGGGATAAAGTGATTTGAGTTAAAGAGAGACATTAATGCCCCTGAACAGATGCATTTGGGAGTGACGAGACAGAACACCAAGGAGAATGTGCTGAAACCCCTGGAGTCTGGGCCAAAATGTGGCTGACAAGCACCCAAGCGGGCACGCAGAAGCAGGAAGCAGGGGGACAGGGGTGAGGGACCTAGGTGACAGCTGTTGTTTTTATGGGTTGGCTTTGGTTACAATTTGGGAAGGATTGTCTTGGTGGACACTATTTTGGTTAGTGCTTAGAGTCTAGAATCTTCCTGATTAGCAGTAAAAACTAAGCTGGGGCTGGTTCTATTTCATTCTCCAGTGTCACCGCTGCTTCTAATTTCTTGGATCAAGGACAGGAATGGTTGCTAAGTAAACAACATTTGTGTTTCCACTGAACAAATCTTGAAGGAGGGGAAAATGCCTTCTTAGGCCTCTGCAAGCTTCAGAATATGTCTTGAGAAAAATATTGAAATTATTGTAAAAATAATTGGAATTCTTAACAGTGGCTGATAGCGACATTCAAAAGACATCGACAATGCAGAAACTCAACAGCAAACAGTTTACTAAGGACATTATAAGCCTCTCACTCAAGCCATTAGCACAGGCAATTTCCATTAAGGGTTTACCAAAAGGATTAAAGAGATGCAAATTAATAAAAATAAAGATGGCTAACCAGTGATCAGGTATCTTTGACTGGGTCTGAGTTCCAACGATACTATGTATGGAAGTAATCTCCTGGAGAAGATTTTTTTTTTCAATTTCTCTGAAAGCCAGGTTGGAGGGAACACTTTTGAATGTGTCACAGAGCAGGGATGTTATAGAGCTGACTGTCTGAGGTCAATTTCTTTCCTTCAGCAGCACAGCACACAGTATTGAGCCTTTTGCATTCAGTGGGAGAGAGCTGATGACTTGCCAATCGGTATCTTATTAAGGAGGTGAGACGGAGACCATTAGAAAGGGCAGGACAACAAGGAATGATGCCAGGGCACTGGGAGAGGGACAAGCTCCTCCTCCACCCAGATACCCTGAGCTTCCGTTCCATTGCACCTGGGTAAGCACCACCTCTCTTCAAAAATACTGTCTGCTGGGTGTGGGTGGAGCTGATCTACCTGTGGTTGCTGTCAGGTATCTTGGTGAACCTGAGAGGCACTAGCCCCATCCCTGCACAGGCTCTGGCCTGCTGTTGTGGGTGAGCATATGCCTTCCCAAGAGATCATACCAGATTGCTGGGAAGAGATCAACAATACCCCGGGCTATAGGCAGCTACCCCGGTAGTCCTGAGCAGCACCAGCACCTCCCCATGTGGGCACAGTAGGCATCTGGACAGCCTGACTGCGGTGCCTGTGGCCTGAGCCAGCAGCCCCAGACCACTCATTTGTGCCAGGGCCTCAAGAGGAGACAGAAAGGAAAGCAAGGAGGGGATATGAAGCTGAAGAACAGAGCAGAGAGAGAAAAGGAGTGGAAGACTGGGAGTGGGGTGAGGACAGTCACTTACACTTGCTTCCATGCTGTGGAGCCAAATTTAAGTCTCCAAGAAATGAGGGGGATCTCTGCTCCACCTCCTTGAGCCTCAGTGATACTTTCACAGTCCTGGTCCACCAAGAACCAGGCTCACAACATGAGCCAATGTCTGCTGAACGTTGGATCCGAACTCTCTCCTGTCATTCTTCTCTGTGTCATTCTGTAACTGGTGGTGCTGCTATTATGTCTGGACCAGAAAGTGTTTTGTTGAATCACAACCACCTCCTAATCATGGCATCCCAGGGGGATGCTTGGTGCCCACTATGACCCCCTGTGCTCCTCAGCTTCGCCCAGTTTTACTGCTCCTTGGCCCTGTGACTCAGTAAGCTCTGCATTGTGAAAAGTGGAGCTTGTCACTTCAGGGCTGGGGGGTGAGAACTTGCTATGCTTTCTCCCTGCTCTTTCCCAGTTCATCTAACTTGTGAATGAGGCCTAGACCACAAGGAAATCTGCACCGTGAAGATAGCCCGCCCCAGGGCAAATGCTAAAAAGTATTACATTTTTTGGGTGGGGCAACAGATAAGAAATACAAGGGACTGCAGAAGTGGGTGTGGGTTTATTTAGTCTTTCAGATTCAAGGTTTTTGATCTTCAGTATTTGGGGTCAGCAATTCCAGGCCCCACTGTGCGGATCTTCCAGAAGGCTTTTGTGGGCCTCTGAAGGTGGAGGCCTCCAGCCGCCAACCTTGGGAGAGGAATAGTTCCGAGGCTTTGCAATTAGCAGAGCGACTAAAACTGCTCCTGGTTTTGCTGCAGTTACAGCCTGGCAGGGAAGGTGGAGACCCGGACCCCCGCGCCTCGCTGAGCTGTGGTGAGTGTGACCCTTTGTCTAGTCGTTCAGCTGCTGCAGCTGCTGCCTTGAGTGTCGCTGGTCTGGTGCTGCACTGGGGTGCCCTGGCAGTTCTGGGATTGTCTCCTGTGGTGTCTTCTGTTGTCTTCCTGGCCTGGAGTTGGAACCTGGCCTGGAGTCTGGCTGCCATGTGCTCCAGGTTCGCAGAAACAGGAAGACGCCATCTTGGAAATGTGGCCTATTGTTTGGGAGAGCACAGCTCTGTGTCCTCAGTAGAAAAAAACACCATTTTAGCTGCTTTTATTTAAAACTGAAAACCACTAGACACTGCTTCAGGTAAAGTAAAAGACAATTTTGGCCTCAGTAACTCTTTATTTTTCCCTGGTTTATTAAATAAACCCCATTATTGTTATTCCCTAAACCTGAATAATCTTGCAATTGTGCAAATGGGTAAAAAACTCAAACAGTAACCTGCAAACTATTTTAAAATTGTCCATATATATATATATATATATATATATATATATATATATATATATATATCATAGGTGCTGATGGTGTACAGGTGTTTGTAAGGAGTCAGGCCACCCAGTCTATCTCATCTGTACCCACTGCTTCCTAGTCTATCCCATCCTATTCTCCCCCACTGTTTTTGTTTTTTTTTTTTTTTTTACTGAGGTAACACTGGCTGACAATGTTGTTTGTATTTCAGAGGTGTTCAATCTTATTTTAGCTAAGAACAGCTCTACTGAGTGTTTCATCTGGGTGGGTAGTGCTACTATTATGTCTGGACCAGAAAGTGTTTTGTTGAATCACAACTGCCTCCTAATCACAACAGTTGAATCACAACTGTTGAATCACAAGCATCCATGGGGATGCTTGGTGCCCACTATGACCCCCTGTGCTCCTCAACTGTGCCCAGTTTTACTGTTCTCTGGCCCTGTGACTCGGGTAAACTCTGCATTGTGAAAAGTGGAGCTTGTCACTTCAGGGCTGGGGGGTGAGAACTTGCTGTGCTTTCTCCCTGCTCTTTCCCAGTTCATCTAAGTCGTGATGAGGACTAGATCACAAGGGAAGCAGCTTGGTTCCTGAGCTGTGCTTAAAATAGAGCTGCCTGATCTGTATTGGACTATCATATAAGACTCAAGCCTTTGTTCTGTTGAGCCACTGGAAGTTGGTGTTTTGTTATGGTTGCTGGTGTGATACTACATCATGGATACAGTGGTCCATGGCTGGTGAATTTGTTCCTTTCCAAGGGGGGCATGACATGGTGCTTGGGTGGTGAGCTGGGAAGTGACTATTGGAGGTTGGGTGGTGACTATTGGACGCCAGGGCTAAGACTTTATTTACTTTGTATTGAGATTTCGAATATAGAGCCGAGGTTTCCATATTGATGAACATGCTTCCTAGCCTTTCTGAGTGAACAGCAATGCCAAGTGCTGATGAGAGCTGTGTTCAGAGGCAGCCCCTAAGCCAGGATTTATATGTGGGGGAGAAACAGCAACAGAGGAAATGTGATTTTTATCAATGGACCACATCAAAGGAAAGCTCCACATTTCCAAAGAGAAACACAAAATATTTCTTATATTTTTAAGAATTTTCAAATTGTATTCCTATGTACCATCTGAATGGATTCTCACCAGTATCTGTGAGATAAATAAGTGTTATCGAGGCTTAAAGAAGACCAGTGACTTATTCAAAACATACTGAGTTTATTATGCTAATTAGGTTTTACAGCACTGTGTAAAATTGTGTACCAACAATATTTAAACTTCAAAAAGAAATTATACTATTTATATCACTTATACATTAGTGAAAGCCTACATTTCATCTATGCAGTAAATTATGATTTTCCACAGAGCATTCATACTTATCTTGTTTCCTCCCTGTAAAAACTCTGTTAGGAAGGTAGCAAACCTATCACACTTACTTTATAGCTGAGGAAACTAAGGCCAGAGAAGTAAGGACAAGTTCGAGATGGGCAGAGCCAGGAGTAAAACCTATTTATTAGTTTCAGACCTAAAGCCTTTTCTCCTCTGACATGTGCTTTGTGGCATATAATATGAAAACATCAGTATTACAAGTAATAAAATATATTTTTTAAATACCAATGAAAT